TTGTGAAAGATATTGTCTGTTCAATCAGACTGCACGATCATGTCCATGATAATGGGAACATCCGAAGCTGTGAACTCGTCGTCATAAATATCATCCCATGAGGCCCAAAATCCCTTAACATCGTCGTCATGGTAACGGTTACGACACCGTACACATTAAAAGATACTGATGTTATTTATGTGTTTGTCATGAGGATGGCCGTCTTAAGGACTGTAACACCGTGTAGTTTTTCCAATGTTTCACAGGCCTTTACTGCCTCCATCATCAGGGCGATGAGTCTTATCGCCCCTGTGACTCAGAGACGCACAGCAACGCCGTAAAAATCCCAGAACCTGCTGTGTTTATCTTTATTTTTCCGGGAAGTCCAGCTTCCGAAATGAATAATACTGATTTCCTAAATAAATTCTTCTAATTTCATTAGGCCTCTACGCCCAGTCCTCATTTTTATTTATGCTGGTCGTATCCTTCCACCAGTCCACATGATTCAACTCGGAAACCACTGGATGGATTTAGATGCCTTTGGGGTCTACCATAAAATCACAAACCCACGATCTCAGTGGTTTAATTGTAATAGACTGCATTCGCCTTATACAGGCTACCTCTGGGACAGCGATAAAGTTACTAAATTTGAAAATATTAATTGAGAGAGGAGACTTCACTTCACTCTTTCACGTAATAAAACGTTTCATACCTATTCGGTCACCATGGGGACATTTTGGTTTTAAAACTTAATGAAACGCGATCGTAAAAACGTGTCTTTCAAATCTTGTTAATAACGTGTAAGACGTTGAAAATGCAAATTATTGTATATAGTTCTTTTGTGTTAGATTAGGCAGTCTAGTGTGCCACATTTTCACCCCTTGTTCTCGTAGGACTTAAAGCTTGTTCTCTAAAGCTCCCCGAGGCCAGAAGTTGTCATGGCAGGGGACACAAGAAGAGACTGTCAAATACTTGAACTGTCCTTATCCTTGATATGGTCTTTGATTCCTTCCTACTACGCCATTTATTTAAACTCGGCCTCAAAAGGCGATCGACTGCTTGGAATCCTCACACGACTGTCTTACCAGAATGGCTTGTTCCCCATTGGGGCCCGGGCGTCATTCCGCCCTTGTTACTGGCGTTACCATGGAAACTCGTATGTCAGTTGAGCTGTTAGTGTCATCCACCCGCGTCAGGAGTTTAATAAAATCTGTCGTGGCCTATTATAATGCCATATCTAAATTCTTCTGAATATATTGACAACGAACGTAAACCTCACACAGTGAAATCTCATGTCCACACAGCCAGTTGGCTGTCCTCTGGGTTGTTGCTATGTGTAGTCAGAGGTCCTTGCTGCCTCCATTATCAGGGCAGCAAGGACTTTTAAACCTTCGTGAAACTCTGTAAAGTCTGCAGCCCTGAACACAGCAATCTGAGCATTTCTTGTGTCTTCCCAGATTAACATGTAATGGCTTGTGAAACTGAAGAATGCGTGGAGCCTTTTCAGCTCGTCGCATTTACAGAGACAGGAGTTAAGTCCATTACACGACAATGTTGCAGCATAATCTGTAATAAATTTGCGTCTCGTCCAATCTGTGTCGTAAAATCAGATATAAATGCGCATCTGTGCAACTATGTGACTTCATAAGCCGTCTTATTAAGTGGACGAGTTTCAGCACATGATGTCATAAAAGTAATAAAAGCATCTTAATATTTTGTTTTATAAGTGCAAGAAACACGTAGCAAGGAAATCTCCACCACCCATTACACATTTCTCAATAAAATAGTCAGTTTTAAACTTGTGATGTAACGTCAGACATCGGCACTTGGCCTGTGCCTTAGGTCATTCATTGTCTTTACTCCTAAGATTGCTTTGGTTACCTCGTTAAAGATTCATTACCGCATTGGCTTCATATGAAGATGAGCAAAGCTTAACTTGGGCATTAGAACGCAGTTACTGTGCTAACGGCTAGGTGTAAGAAGACTCATATAAATTAGAAGCAACTTCTTACAAGTTTTGATGTCATAATCACACAGAATTTGCTCGTAATTTATGTGCATAATCAACGTGTTTCTTTTAATATTTCTGTCAATCGGTCTACAAGTTTACTGAGTCACTCAGAATAAGACGTTTCCTGTCGATAAGTAAGCCATGTTTGCATGTTTTATTTATGTTACTGTGTTTATTATCTTTAGTAACACTAGGCGATCTTCAGTGGACCAGTCTCAAGTCAGATCTGACCCTTTGAATACGAAGCCATTCTCCTTGAACTGGCATTAACTAAGCTTAATAAGCCTACGATTCAACTCTCATCTCTTTTTTTTCGGACGACCTGTAGTTTGTTTCTCCACTAGTTGGTACTTAAGTGCGGATTTTGGTAGTGTCTCATCTGGCATCATTTCGACGCGTCCTTTCAAATTCTTGTGGTATATTACAGTGTCTCATCTGGCATCATTTCGATGCGTCCTTTCAAATTCTTGTGGTATATTTTAAATTCTTCTACGATGCATTTCGTGTCTTTTCCTGCCCTAAACTCTCTGAGTTATCCTAATGTTAGCTTAGCTAAGCTAAGGAAGGTTTTTAAGCGTACTAAAGCAATTCACCCTCGATCTTAAGTTGAATGTCTAATTCTGTACAGATGCACCCAATGAGTTGACCCTTTCTGACGACTTATAGTAATTTTGGTATTCTTACTTAACACATCAGCGGACACAAGTTGGAAAATTTCGCGATATAGTTTTTTCCAGAGGCTGGGACAGGAAGTCAGTGTTCTGCGTTCTTATGATAAGCTTTAGGTCAATAAACGTTGATAAGAAATGTAGGCATTGGTCTAATTTTCGCGCAGTAAAACTGCACGCACGCTGCTAGAATAATATTTTTCGAATGTTTGCTGTTATGACCGTTGCCATGGCAGTGCTGTTAAGGGATATTTATATGTAACTTGCCATGGTAATGTTGTTAGTCACGTATCCATGTATCCACCAATCCATTTTCAAATACTCTGATGTGGTTTGTGTGGATATGTTAAAGGATGAGACACGAACATTGTTCGGGAATTCCCCCATTTAGAATAGGAATCTCACAGGTTGCCGGTTATTTTATTATTATTATTAGTGTTCTGTCTGACGACAGGTCCATATGAACAGGATCCTTCCATCCTTTTCTCAGACTGGGACCTGTTCATATACGTTCTTGGCAGATGATCCAGAAGTGGTTTGCCATTGCCTTCTTCTGTGTGTGAATGGAGTAATTGTTGGGATGCCACGGAGAAACCGGGGAAGCCCCCGGAGGAAAACTCCGTGTTGCCTAGACCACGGCCATGCCCAACACAAGTTATAAATTCGGAAGTGGTAATTCAGAAGAATAGCAAGGAACGAATACGACTGTCTGACGTTCTGATCGTGCCCCGTTTGTATGTGTTGTGTTTTGGTTGGGTCGTTCTGTAACTTTAGTTGTAGATTTGAGGTAAAATGGAGACAGTATCAGATATTGATTTAGGAATTGTAATGCGAGCAAAGTGTTCGTTGCCCCGGATGTCGGAGAGTAGCATGGCCGTGAGAATGTAATTTGACGTTAAAGACACCCGAGATTTTCCTCTTCCGACTTTCAAATGAGATTAAGGGCTATAAATTGTCGCATATGCCAAGAGTAACGATTATTTATACGACACAGTGAAAATGAGTCCGATATTGGTATATTCGTGTTTGAGGAATTAAAAAATCATGCTTCGTATTGAATTAGCGCAGTCTTAGGTGAGAAATTTACACAAAATTTTGGTTGTAAATCGATGTGGAAGAACCACTCGCAAGATCTAGGCGTGGATGGGAGGATTGGATTAATCTGGCTGAGGATATCGGCCAGTGGCGTGTTCTTTTAAACACGGCAATGAACCTTCTGGTTTCAAAGAAAGTGGTTGACTAGCTCTGCGACTATCAGCTTTTCAAGAAAGACAGCGTTCCAGCATTAATTGTTTTGTTTTTTTAAAGTCTAATCGTGAGCCAACTGTAAAGGATTTTTAAAATGTTTGCCATGAAAATAGTTTTCTATTGGAAAAGTAATTAAAGAGACCATCTCTTTGCTCTAAGGACTACATAGGATTTATAATAATTAAAATGTCATTACGCTTACTTGTGTAAAGATGCTGTATCATTTTGTTAGGTCTTATGGCGTAGAAAATGGGACATTTTTGTGTGCTGAATTGGGAATGTCTGGGGGCGGGGGGGGGGATTTGAACCTGGTACTTCCCAAATTACAAACCTGGGCTCTCGCAACTTTATTTTGGATTTAGAGTAATGTTATGTAAGTGACCTGACTTTCATTTTTTGTGCAATAGTAGGGAGAGGAAATTCGGTTGACTCAGGTCCATATCGGACGTGGAGGACTAGTTTTATCTGTTGCAGACGTTTTCATGTTCTTATGGAGGGGGAGGGGGATCCTGGGGAAGATTTTGGACGTGACCAATCCGTCGGTGAGCTCTGATGTTAGTGGCATGTACGGCCGGAGTGGCGCTAATATGTATTTACGACGAGCGCGTTATATGATATATGATATATAGTGGTGTATTGGGTCACCGGACCCTCCCCGGACTGCCAGCGTTTTGGTGTTTGCTTGGGGCAGAGTTGGATGGAAGGTTACCAACATTCGAACTTAAATTTTTTTGAAACTACACGGCGATTAAAAAATGTTAACATTTTTGTAAACGCTCTCTATCATAAATTATGTGATTTCTATGTGATGTGAGTTTGTCACGGTGACCAGAATGTCGATGTTTCCGTGGGTTCTGACGTATGGAATTGTGGGTAGATACCACCATTTCCCAAGGATCGTTCTTAAATTTTGCGTCAAGCTGTGCAGTTGAAAAGGGTGAAATTAAGCAATTCTTTGTAATATCAGTGCTTGATCGTTTAACGTTTATGCAAAAAAATATTTTAATTAATTACTGTAGCAGTGTGATTTTATTAACGGAGCAGCCTTAAATTGTAGAATCTTTCACTTTAATTTCAGGTCGATAAAGCGAAGCGTGGAAAGAAACAGCCTGAAGAACTTTCTTCCAAGAGAAATTCGGAATCAGCTGGGTAAGTAAAGAACATTATTTCATATTTCGTAGTTGAGGTCGGCCACTGATATAATACATGTAAGAAGCTAGAGGGTTACATTCGCTAAAAGAAATTTTCCAGAATTTATATAAACTTTTATACAAACTCACAAATTTTTAGATATTTAAGGAATGTAGCTCCAGTCTGCTTAAGATAAAAATAAGTAGGAGAATGGCAAACTAACAAACATATCTCATGATAGAGCAGACGAATAAGGTTAAAAGGGAGAAGGAATAAGAAGAAATAGAGAAAATTCTCGAGGGGCTCGTCATTTCAGCCCGTTGCCATCAGAAAATTCGCAACGCGTATTGCCAGTCTTGTCACGTACTTGGCGAGAAAAATTGCAGAGGATGGGTGAGGTTGATGGCACAGGGGAGGAAATTCAGCACAAGTGGCAGGCAGCGAAAGAGAGAGGCAGACTATTGGCCGCGCTGAAGATTTTTTGGTTTAGAATCGGAGGGGAGGTGCTATCAGAAATCCATATTTTTATTTCAAAACTTGGTACGTCCTATATTTCTCTGCGACTTACAGTCCAACAAATTTTTAGAAATCTAATGCGACTCCCAGCTTCATTGTGTAAATGCAGAGATGTGTTTCTGCAAGTTCAAATCTCCGAGACTCAGTGTTCTTTCATGCCGTTGTGTTTTAGGGAAGTATATTTCTTTGAACCTGAAGCTCGTCCAAATAACATTTAAGAATTCAGTCCGTACCGCGAAGAAAACACCACACTGCACCATTACGAAGATCAACTGTTTAACGCTGTTTAAAAAAAACATCTCCCACTTTTTCTCTTCTCTCTCTCTCTCTCTCTCTCTCTCTCT